AATATTATTGAAGTAAAGTACAACTTTGGTAGAAAATTTTCAACGTTTAAAGCAAACTGGATTTTATAGCAGCTGTCTGTGACTTTCAGAAGCGGCTCCGGATGATTTCACCACTGTAAAATATATGGGATTACTGTAAAAATAATCGGTTTTTTTCAGTTTCACATTCCTTCCTGGCTCGAAACTCTCGATATTGAAAATCGCCGTCTCAAAATTTTGATATGTTATAGAGGAAAAAATTCTACATAAAATCTACCTTTTTTTAAAAACTTGAAGACGTTTTTATTTCTGTGTCTGCTTGAAATTTTGTTTTTCTTGTATTGTTTCTTTGTGTGTTTATACCGGAATTAAAGTACCCAACATGCTTCTAAACGTCTTTTGAAAGTTTGGGACATGAGAAAGCTGGATCAAAAATCGCAAATTTTGTTAAAAACAGGCCAAATTAAAAGCCTCCAAAGATAGGCATATCAAGCGGCAACCTGGCAAATTTTGCAAATTAGGGGGGATTTAATTTGGCGGAAAATTCAATTTCTCAGGTCTTCTTTGCAGCTTTCTTCATGCTAGCCTAGAATCTACTAATCAGCAAAAAATGAAAAAATCTGAGGTTGAGTGTCAAAAGTGAGCGACTTGATGTGGAATGGCCCTTATACATGAATTTGACCCAAAGTTAATCGTAGGGTTTTAAGGACAACCTCTTAAACTAGGCCTAGCCAAGAGCATAGTGGCGTTGTTTAATAAAAATGAAAGGTGATCAAACATGGCTTTCTGATTCTGTCGCGAAGTCCGGCAAAAGTAGCACAAGAAGCGTGAGCAGGCAACGACCATTTCGGAAGCATCCTTAACAGGATTTATAATTTCCTTACGGCCTACCGAAAACCGAAAAAGAGGAAAACTTATGCAACGAGTCAGTACGAACCTTAACCGGTTGAACAGACGTAACTTCTTCGCCATTTTCATGTTCACTGTGTTCAACAGTGCCTTGCTGTGCAGTCAAAATATTCATCATTATGGACATAATGTCTTTATGAACATTCAATAAGCGCATTAGGTCAGGATGTTGGAAGAAAATTCGATTGTTCATAAGTTTCCTGAAAGCTTTGCAATTCTAAACGAAAAATTTCTTAATTACATTTCTTGTAAGCCACCAATAAGCGATTTGTACCTGATGCAAAATTACAACTAATTCCTCAATGTTAGTGCAATCTTTAGTTGCAAAGTCCTCAAGCTGTTAATTTTATATCGAAAAGTGAAACAATACAAAACTGCTTTTTACCGTAAACATTAAAAAAATAAAAGTTTGTTGTTTCCAATTACTTACTCTATGAAACCTTCCATGTCCACAAAAATACATACGACAGTACTCAAAAAAGCCTTGATGAAAAAAACCTAATAAGACATTATTCCAATCCTACTACTATACTACACTGACTATGACTATGATATTTGTACCATCTCACTTTTTGCCTTGGTTTTCTAAACGTTTAATTTTTCTATTTTATTTTCGTTATGCTTCTCCAGCTTTGAAAAATAGTGATAAACTTCTTATGTAAGGTAGCAGTTAAAATAATAATAAAGCGAAGAACCTTCATTACACCAGAACGAACTAGTCTACTAATCATCAGCAAAAAATACCACAGTCCGCGCTTTAAAATTGCTTCCTCAGCGCTCTCAAATTGGACCATGAGAAGTTCCCTCACTTGTACAAGATATTCGATAAAATCAATCACATCGTCCACGTTGCGTTCGTGTAGGACATACGTTTGAGCCATAGCATTCATTAGCTAAAATATACAACTGGATAAATGTCTGCAAAAATTTATAGAACCATCAATTTCTGAGGGTATATATATGAGCCGTTCCATGCCAAGTGGCACGCTTTTTCCGTTCATACATCAAATTTTTTTAAAACTTTGTTGATTAGTAGAGTCCAGACTAGCACACAGAAAGCCGAATAAAACCTGGGAGAGTAAATTCCTTGCCAAGTTACATTCTCTCAAAGTTGCAAAATTTGCCATTTCGTCGCTTGACATGTCTACTTCCGCAGACTTGTAATTTAGACTGTTTTTAACAAAATTTAATGATTTTCCATTCAACAGATTCCTTATTTCCCAACCTTTTAAAAGCATACTAAATAATTTAATTATGCTAAAAATTCACATAGATACAGGAAAAGCAAGATTTCAAACAAACATCAAAAAGAGAAAAAAAACGAATCCCTAAATCTTTGGAAAAACACGTCTTGAGTAGAATTTTTCGCTCCACAATTAAAATTTGGTAATAGCAATTTTTCGGTATTGAGAGATACAAACACTACTTTTACAGTAATCTCAAATCTCACAGTGACGAAACAGTTCGAAGCCCCTTCTGAAGGCCGCAGCAGGCGGCGACAAAAACCTGGTATGCTTTAAATGTCGAAAGTTTGTTACAAAAAATGTACTTTACTTTAATAACATCAGCAAATTATTATTCTGCAGAGTTGTCAGAAGTAGCCTTCACTCCAGCATTTCCTATTATGTATATGTATATATAAGTTGTAATTCTCAAAAGCGACTACGGAAACTTTAGGAAACACTAGAACTCACACCTAAATGGTTAGAACAATAAGTTTGTTAGATCTCCTCATGGCGTCAAAATATGTAGTACCTCCATGATTTCAAAATAAAGAAGACAAGAAAAGGAAGACGCTAAAATAAAGATTACTCTTTAAAACTTTGAAGCACAAAAATTTAATAATATTTTAGAGTAAGAAATACTTTTCTTAAAAAATCTACAAGAATTAAAACATAGTGTTTTAGATTACTGTAAAAGCAGTGGATTTTCATCAGTCTCACATTTCTTCCCTGACCGTAACTCTTGGCTTGGAAAACATGCTACCACCGATTTTTGATATGTTTTAGTGCAGGAAATTTTACGCAAAATATATATGTTACGAGGATTTGAACATACGTTTTTGCTACGTATTTGAAACCTTTTTCGTACCGTATTTATGCAATTTTTAGCACAGTTAAGTAGTCTAACACGTGTTTAAAGTTGAAATCACAATAAATTTTACAAGTTAACAACGGCCGAGTTTCACTGAGGAAAAGCTGAATTACAAGTCCTGAAAATTAAGCGAGTCAAGCAGTAACCTAAAGGAATTTGCAACTCTTAGGAAGCGTAACTTAGCGGAGAATTTGCCTTCCTAGGACCTCACTTCAGTTTTCTATATCGAAGCTTAGATTCCATTGAACAAAACTTAAAAAAATTCTAAAATATCGCGCAAAAGAATGTGCTTGTTGGCGTGGGAAGCTTCATGTATGAAAATCTTTTTTAAGACTACAAATCTTAAAACCCCAAATATATAGTGTGACTGTTAAAAGTATGTTTAGTCACAGGAAACTAAAGATGTAAAAAATTTGCATAAGAACCTCTGTAACACCAGAAAATTGTCGTAGTACCAAACCAAACATTTTCCGAATCAACTCATGGCTTTCGATAGTTGAGGAAAGCGCCCAATTTCCCAGCATGTCGGTAATCATTCGTCTAAAAAAATTGATAAAAATGACGGTCCCAAAACCTCTAATTTACGCTAAAATATGCCTCAAATGCTAAGAACAGGAAAGATAGATATGCGCACCTAAAATTCTCTGAACCATTGCGCAACGTCCTGTCGTCAATTAAGGCAGGAGCAGGTGGGACTTTGATTAAGAATTGTGCCACTACGTCTAACCAAGAATTGTCATCTTCCATGGGAACAAGGTCAGCTATATGTTCTCCTTCCTTGACGCAGCCAACTTTGTCCACCAATAACTGACAAAATTCCCTAAAAGCCGCCCTTCAAAAACTATCTAACTACATATTCCATAAGTAAGCCTGAGCACAGGAACCTTAGACCCATCTGAAGACCTTCATCCATCGGGCATTGATCGTATTCAACTTCGTCATCTAACAGAAGATTATCGTTAACGTCAGCAGCTCTGCATTTTAGCAGACGAAACATCTAAATAAGATGTCATAGCCAATAAAAAAGTACTGAGTTCGTAAAACCTTGTAAGAGGACTAAAATTTACTTGTTCTCTAGGAGGACAACGAAATTCTTTAGTTCGTCTGGCTGCCTCTGCTGGAGGCATATCAGTTTGCTTGATATCCATATACCTTGAAAAAAAGAAAATTAAGTAGAAAAAAATTCGCAGTTCGCTTAACAAATTAATAGATGTAAGTGGAAAAAGTACTATAAATATATATTAAGCACCTTCTGCACTGATCTTGCTGAAGCTCTCCAACAAATCCCTCAGAAAAAGCTACTAGAGCTTCAATACGGTGTCTCAACTGAATGTCGCAAAGATTATCTAGTATATCAACCAGTTGTATCTTCACACCTTCGGCAAGATCAATTTCAGTTAAGCCCTTCTGAGTGGAACCTAGACCGTTAAATGTTTATTCGGAAAAAATTCTAAATTCTTTTAGAACGCAAATACTTGAAGCACGTTTTGTAGTCATGAAGAGAAGACAGACTAAGTACCAGGCTCGTAATCTTCATCAAAAGCAGCTGGATGCAGTAATTTCAACACTTCTCTTAAATCGTCATCTTCGATGAGGCCTACCACTAGCAAGGAATTAAATAATTTTAAGAGAGGCCTGAAAGCAAAAGTAGCTGAAGACTGAGAGTTAAAACCGCATGAAATAATAAAACCACTAACACTGATGGTTCTGAATGACATAACCGTATAAACTACATGACGATGAACTTGTGTATTCAAAGTCTCCTTAGCTCTTCGCTCCAAATTTTAAGTAACTTACTCAAAATGAGTGAGGTTGCTACCACCAATCAGATCTCGACAGTTCATAACCGCATTCCTAGTAGCATTTCTTAATGCATAAATAACGTGAGCCTTCAGCGATTGAAAATTAAAAGACGGTGAGCGCAAATTTAGATCAACTTCTTTACTGAAATTCAATAAAATAATTGTGAACTAATAAGTCCCTCAAACGCTGTAATTAAGATGCAATATTTCGTAACTCGGCACTGTTCAAGCATGAACCTAATTATTTTATCACGAGTAATATATTGAGAAAAACTAAACTTATTCAAAGTCAATGAGGAACAAATGTTGTGAAAGCAGATTCTCGATTTTACGTGCAGTGCCTAACACTTCTCATTCTGACTTTTTTTTTTTTGGTCAATACGTCAAATTAAGAAATAAAAATACATATTGTAGCTAATTCATCATTTACTTTTAAAGAAAGTAAGTGGGCGAAATGACACCGAATACATCATAACTAGCGTTTCAAATCGGAGGCATTAAATAAAAGCATATTCTAAAAAAGCAGGCACAGAAATCCCTACTTTGCAGTAACATCACTCGAGCACAGCATCGGACGCAGAGATATTGTAGCACCACATATTTGAGGGTACCGGTCTTCAATATGAGGTTCAAAAAACGACTTTTTAGCCTCTAATTCTTTTACCAACGGAACTACATACTCCTGCCTCGCAAAAAGTCGAGCGTCGACATGAGATTTTAAATGAATTCCAATCACAAAGTCATAAAATCCTTGACGTAAGGGACCGGATAAGTCTAAATAGTATGAACTGAACCGCACAGAAATTCAAAACGAACTATACAAAAAAAAAAGTACATTGGCTTTTTACAGCGTATACGATTTGATCTTCATTCACGTGGGAGCACAGAGTATGTGCTACTTTTTGATTACCATGCGCTGCCAGTTTGCAATAAAGATTTAAAGTTTGTCTATGAAAGGCAAGGTAGTCCGGATGCTCAATCATCTCCAATATATCATAACTCATCCCTTTTTCAGGAACATAAATCGACATTATCCTGATAGGATCATCACAAAGCACAGACCAGCCTGAAAGTTAAAAAGAGAAAAATGAGAAATCATGATAATTTTGTTAACAGTGCTGCACTTATAGCAGGAAAAGAGTAATCTTCATAGTGAACAAGATGAGAAACTTCTCTGGAAGCTAGATGTTTGAAAATACCCATTATACCTCGTGCGTCTGATAGTTTAAGAGCTGTAGTTCTCAAGCACTCCTGTGGAACACGTCCCCAGTGAACAGGATGTAGAGTTTCTACGGTAAGGCGAGGCGGACAGTATGGCACGACACTTTTCCGAATAGACTTGAATATTACAGATGAGATCGGGAAAGTGTACTGTAAACCACGTTTTATTTGGTTACCAATGGTCCGAAAAAAAATATTTTCTCAACCAAAACTTGGCAAAGTCTTTGATGTACAAAGTTACCAACGACTAATACTGACCTTTAACCTTCCTAGTTCAAACTGTAGCACCTCAGAACTTGTTGGTGTTACAAATACAGATGGATATAAAATTGCACCAGCCTCGAGCTGAAATATTATTTTTTTGTACAAGGGATAAAAACACCCTATAAACAACCAATATATGTGTTTGAGCGGTTCCTTAAAAATTTCAAGCTAGCAAAAAAAATCTCGCTCAAGACTACCTTGAATCTGACTGTAGTATCCTGCCCTGCTGCCAAAAAGGAAAGCTCCCCAATGTTTGTATCAATAATACATCCTATTAGTAATCCAGACACCTTCGTGTTTGCAGCATCAGGAATTTTTTGCAAAAGTTCGGCGGCATTCATGATATAGCAGTTCCGGTATTCATGACTATAAAGTAGTAATATAAACCTCTATTAAGTTATCATAAAAAAAGTTCTCACTCAAAGTCCAATAAAAAAATCTCCTTATATCAAAAAAATATTATTGACTTTAAAAATCCAAACATTATTACCTTTAAACAGTAACTTAAGAAAAAAATTTAGTAAATATTTTATTAGCAAAACTTGGAACCTTTCGGACAAATTTTCTCCCTGCCCTCTAACCTCTACACGACATCTTCGCACCACCTCGTTAACTGCGAATTGGTTGGAATAGAAATGGTACTTTGGAGTTACCCAACCAATCCACACCTGAGCTGGATCTTGCCCAGGAAAAATTCGTACTCCATAGTAAAACTCGTTTATCTAAATTAAACTAATTCAACTACCTCATCGCCTAATTCAAATACCCCATCGCGCTTTACATAGTCTTAAAAAAAAACGTCTGAAAACGAAACCTGATCGGCAAGCTCTGTTAATGCTTTAGTGTCATCTTCCGGTATATTGCCTTGTACAACGGCAGTTGAGTCCAGTGCAAGTAGCGACGGTCGCCGATTGTCAACTAAAACACCATTTGGATCTCTTCGTGCTTCTTTGTCTGAAGCTAGGTTAGCGTGACAAAGATTTCCATAGTTTAGAAACTTTTTTAAAAAGTTAAACTATACTTAACCGTCCTACTTTTCAGTAATTAATCTGCCTGTAACATCATGAGCGCTTCACGAACAAATGATTTCTTGTAAGAAATATACTTCTGCAGTTTTAAAATTGAAAGGATTTCTTTAAAACTGACCAAAGTAGCCGTCCGGTGTAAGAGAAGGAGAGTGAGCTTCATTATCTACAGAACTTCCATCGTATGAAATAATAGTTCGCGCAGCGTGTGGAAGATTTGTGTCTTCAGACATGTTTAGTTCAGAGGGAAGAGAATCTCTGAAAATCAGAAAAAATTTGAGACATAAGAGATATTGTTAACTTGAGACAAAGTGAGGAAAATATAACTTCTTCCTCTGAAATCTCGCCATTAGTCCGGTCCTTTTCGGAGGGACAGATTTTTCTCGAATGCTACGGCGTTCGTCAGCTGCAATATCGTGTTCCCTGCTAAAAAGTTCTCTTAATAACCAACTCCAGCACATTAACTAGCATCATGCACTATTGCGCAACGACTATCAGGCGCTTTATAAATGCAAACAATTTCAGACTTCTTCCAAGTTTTATTCCTTTACCCTTCTCAGAGATGTCAGAAAAGGCAAGGAAAAATGAGTTAATTGGAAAACTAGTCCACTATAACTAAAAAAATAAAACTGTAATCGCTCAAAATGGATAAAAAAACCATCTACAAGAGACAGCAAAAAGTGTTATTATAAAACATAAGCTCAGCTACGCTCACGAAATGTCAAGTGACACTTTCCTCCGCAAAAAATTATCAAAAAAATCAGAGCGGCAGAAAACGGCAAAATCGGAGCAACGAAAAGCAAAAACTTTGTATCACCAATTCTACAAAATAAATTATTTAACGGAGAACGATGTTAGGGACATACCTTAAGCGATCAAGTGAAGCTTCATTTAAAGACGGAGACTTCTGGTACGGCTCATCTTCATCAGTACTATGTTTGAAAGCGGATAGAATTGACCTCCCAAACCTCTGAAAACGCAAATAAAGATGCTTTTTTAAGAAAATTTCTCAACAGTTTTAGCTACCGCAACTATTTGTCCAGTTCAAGTAACCAACCCTGTTACTCTTTATTGTTTCCGGTTCTCTTGGTACTATTATTGGTTTAGGAGGAGTTTGAGCCGCCTCCTTTTTTAGTTGATGTTCACGTATTAAACGTAAAGGAGTTTCCTTGTCTCTGTAATGTTTATTTTTTCTCTCTGAAAAGTTCTCATAGAGCCACCCGAAAATTAGGTGGACAATAAAGAAGCAGCAATAATGAATTAATAATTTAACATACCTCCCTCTAACAAAAGCTGTGTTACACTGCACCGGCATTGAAAGTCTTATGTACTCCATTTTTGCTTTCTCCTGCGTTGCCGTTTCACCAGGATTGATTTTCTGTGTTAGTTTCAGACACGGAGGACTGTTCCCAGTAGCTGGAATTCTTGAAACTTCTAAAGACGAATTTGGACCAAAGTCGTTAAACAAAGAGAGATGTTTTCCAAACCACATAGGCATCTGGCGATACATGTTTCTGAAGAAGAAAAATTTATTCAATTTAAAAGATCCAGTCGTAGCGAATAGGCGCAAATAGAAATTACACGCAAAACGGCTCATATCCTTCTTGTAAGCCGCATGTGGTGAAAAACTTTAAAGTATTCGAGTCCTGTCCAAAATTCAGTTTAGCTTTTTGCCCTTGAGTTAAAGTCATCGCAGGTACGAATCCGTCTCCGGCAATAACATTATCAAATGCCATTTCAGAACCTGATGGATCCTAGACACGAAAAAATCGTTACCACTCAAAATAACCGTACACAGAAAATTCATTTTTAATAATACTGAATTAAAAGTAACAAGAAAAGCCCCAACTCTTTTCAGGCAGCTACAGTAATCTAAAACTCATCCAGTCCTGACCTGAAGATCTAAATCTACAAATTTTTGGTAGAGACTAAAATCCCACCAGAAGTAATTCGCCATTCAAGGAGAACGAGATAGTTCGATCATTGAGGTCTAAGAAGCTGCCTATAATATCACCAGTTTTCCATTCCCTTCCGTAAGCTTCAGCGCCTTGGTGCCACTTTCTAACTAGGTATCTTAAAAATGTTTTGTTTTGATTGAAAGCAAATATCATTCAAGAGAAAGCCAAACTTTAAGCTTCCTGAAAACCGGAAACAGTATAAAAATTTGATAAGGCGTAAAAAGAAAATTAAAACAAAAGAACTGATGAAGAAGTTAATTACCCATCAAACCCGTAAGAGCGATCGTCGTCGCCTAAGTCAACATCTGGCCCACTACTGATGTCCATCCACCCTATTTTCATAAATCCAGGAGTTAAAACTTCAAACTCATAATACCACTTTCCACTAGTTACAGCGTATGTCGCTTCCGCGCGATATGTTCTAGATGGAGCACGAACAGCCTGAAGCTCTTTTTCGGCTCCTAAATTAAACTACTGGTGCAAATGATGAAAGATAATCAAAATATGGTAGAATGAGTAAAGTTAAACTGTTTATAGTATATTGCTTCAAGACCAGGTAGAGCAATTTCTCATTTTAATTTGAAAATCAAACTCCAGTAAATTTCATAAACAAAATATATAGAGAGAAATACTATGAAAAATAATCGAACCCTCGTCATGCTCATGAACTGGAGGCTCAAGAAATATGCTGTGAAGCTGTAAAGCCTTAATGAACTCTATGGCGGATTGGCGATTGGCCTCCTTGATTAAAGGGTCAACACTTTCATAAGGAACGAGGTGAGGGCTACGCTTTTGTGTACTGTCAACATACTGCAAATAATCACTTTGAAAGCTTTAAAAAGTCGTAGATGCAAGTGATAACCAATTACAGACTAAAATTTTTTAGTCACCGTCAAAAAAAAAATGTGAACCTCATTCAGGCCAAAAGTCCACCCTCGACGGATTTTCTCCTTAGCCCAAACGTTGTGAGTATTTTTGGCGAGAGCGTCCACCAACGGCATCACTTCGTCACCCAATGTTATTTCATGAGCGTCTAGCGGTTCTGGTTTATATCCATTACTTTGCTGATAGCTTGAAATTGCGCTCAGTTATAAATTTTCTACAGAAATCCCTGTTTTTGCGAGACAGTCAACCGTCATAAATAACTTTGAAAAAACTATAAGATAAGAATTTTCTCGGAACAAAGAGTGAAAATCATTTCAAAGCAAACTTCTGGGGCAAACGAATAGGTCGGACTCGGACAGGTGGTTTATCAAATATCATATGGTATCCCAAAGCATCAATAGTCCTGAAATTAATTTATCATTCTAAAACCTTATATCTCGTAAGCAGCATATAAAAAGCTACATGTCATCAAATCGTGACAGTCAAAAAGCTAAAAAATTATCCATTTTTCTGGGAAACAAATGGCAAGGTACTGCTTTACTTCATCGTATCAATCGCCAAATTAATGTTGTAAGTCCTCTCTGTGGCTGGTAAGTGCTCAAAACTGGTTAGGCAAGGATGGCGACGATTTCGCTCATCGCGTTTCTGCAAGTCCAAATCGTAAAATTCAGCTCACTCGAAACAGATATGCTTTTCACACTGAGAATAGTTTTACAGAGACGAATAGCGCAGTACCAAATGTAAGTAATAAAAATCTCCAAAGCATTTTTAGAAAACTACTTTGCTACGTAATTTTAACCAGAAGTGATAAAATATCGTATTTAAAACAAATTTTTTAGAAGTGGGACTGTTTAGGGACCTCTCCTAAGCTCCATCCTAATTCTATTTTTCGCATAGCCCATAACTCGTGCAAGTTTCTTGCAAGTCTTTCGTGAACTTCCATAGCAAAATGAGGTAGGATAACATTTGATATATCTACAGGTTTCGGTACAAATGGTTCCATATTATACAACAATGTTGTTGGTCCACAGTAAACGCTTTTAGCCAATTCCCCGAAAGATATGCATTCTGCGATGGCTAGCTTTCCGTTTACAGCTTCAACAACAGGGCTGAACCCTACTGGAGGTCCGTATTTTAAGCGCCCTTCAGAGCCTCCGAAAAGGAAACGACAGCTGAAAGTTCAATACTGTAAATAGGCTTTCACAGATGGTAAGATCGAGCAAAAAAAATACCAGACACCGGCGTATTCTACTCATTAAATTGTAGCAACAGAACACCTCAAAAAATGCTTTCTACAA